ACTACTTCAACAGGCGCTTGGGTTTGTGTAGGATCAAAATCATCATCAAGGCTATCTTTCAGGGACTTTTTAAGTGAGAGGTCATCCATAGATGGTAGGGTAGGTTCCTCATCACAAAGTATCTCATCATCTATGATTTCTTCATCAACCTCATTGGGCACTTTCATATGGGGCTCTTGAGAACTAAGTTCTACGAGGATAGGCTCTAGCTCAGTAGCAATGAGAGGCTCAAAAGAAATAGGGGTGAGAAGAGTTTCAACCATCTCTCCCATAGTTACCGTAGCCTCCTCCTCAAATTTAGTACCTCCCTCGTATGTCTCCTCTTGAACCTTGTGCTCATTTCCATAATTGATTTGTTCAAACAATTCTTTGATACTTTGGTCACGAGAAGCTAGTTCAATCCTTGCCCTTTTTAATTCTTCCACAAAATCGAGTAAGGATGATTTTAACTCTTCGAGCTCGTGTTGAGGATAAGGTGAAATTCCAGGGTCACCCTCGTAGGAGTACTCGTTTGTGCTGGTGTAATGATTTTCTAGCCTTTCTTGGTAATTTTCATGATAATTAAAATCATCATGATAATTACCTTGATAGGAGAAATCATCACAGCCTTCAAAGTTTTGCCCTTGGTGGAAATAATTCTCTTGAAATCGGTAATCTCCATACCCCAAAGGCGGATTTTCGCACCATTGATAACCATGATTGTTATCCTCATAACCTTGCTCATAGTATCCTTCATTTTGATTATTTTGGAAAGTTTGTTGTTCATAGTATAGATAGTGATATGGTGGTTGAGAATTAAAGTGTTCACTTGAGTAATCCATGAGGAAATCTCAAGCAAACACGTGAGAACAAAATGAAAAAGAGAAAGAAAGTCTCCCTAATTTGAATTAGCCCATGCTAAAATCAAAATCAAGAAAGCACCGTGCCATTCCCCGGCAACGGCGCCATTTGATAACCGCTTTCGCGGCGTTGTAGTAAAACGGAGTCTAACCTTTCGGTTTTTCCCCGAGTATCGTGTCTCTCGAGGAATGGCGGAGGAGCTTCTTGATTTCAAGTCCAGTCACAGGTTATCGCAAATTATTGGAAGCTTTCCAAATTAAAACTTTTGATTGATTTTCTAAACTACTTTTTGGAAAAGAAAAAAAATTAAATTGTGCAAATACTAATGATGGCTCAAAAATAGACTAAAGGAAGAAATATAATATTAAACTTAAATGGATTGATGCAAATAAGGGCAATGAATTGAGTAATTAGAAATGGATATATTCTTGGACCTAGTAATTAGGGAAATTAAAACTAAAATTGGACTAATAATTTCTTTCCTCATAGACAAGAATAGAAACTATTTTCATTAATTTATCCTATTTCTAGGTGTCATTAATGTGTTAAAAATGGTTGGCTTGAATTAAATTCTAACCTCATAGACAAGGTAGAAATAATTCTCCAATATTTTAATTAATAAAAATAGCCAAATTCATTAACTAGTTAAACTCATTAATTAAGCAATTGAATTTATCTCTCATAGCCAAGATGTAAATCCCTTTCATTAAATTATCCTATTTCTAGGCCTTATTAATGTGCTCGAATATGGTTGGCTTAAATTATTTTCTAATCTCATAGACAAGTTAGAGATAATTTTCCAAGAATTTAATTAATGAATATGGCTAAAAATTATTAATTACTATTTCATCATTTCAATCAACTAGTTCCCATTATTAATTTTAATCCCTAATTTTTTTGGTCAACAAGTCAATCCATATTCCTTTAGTCAATTCATGCCCAAAACAAATTTAGCTAATAAAGATCATTTTAACAATTAACAATATAATGAATATATTTAACATTAACAAGGAATTAAACATGGATGATAGCAAAACTTATATTCTGGAACAATAAACTTGTAGAAACTAAAGTATAACTTTCTGGAATTTTTCACGAATTTTTGAAATTCGTGAAAAATTGATAATTTTCCCAATTTTAACTAGAAAATGAAAAAAGCAACTAAAATTATTCTAAATTCGTTCTAACTTTTATTGACTACAGGGAGTGATATTACTGTGAATTAAACTGGAATTAGGATAGAAACTAATTTTTTTACCTTTTTGAGTATTTAATTTAATTTATGCAATAATAACAACTAAATGCCGGAATTAATTAAAATTTACTTCTATTTCGTAAAAATTAAATTTCTTTTGATAAATAACTACCTTGAGGCTAGTAAACAACTATATAATTAATTGGAATGGATTTAATGTCAACAACTATTTTATTCAAATTTAAGAAGAAAATGCGAAATAGTGGAATAATTTTCTGAAAATTTTAGAAGCACAGATAGAAAAAACTAAGTACAGATTCAGATTCTACTCATTCAAAGGATGAAAATACATATAAAGAGCTCACAATTTGGAGCTAAAATGAGAAAGATATGAAAGTTTGAAGTTGAAGGTAACAATGGTGGAAATCCGAGCTTTGAGGAGGAAGAAGACGCCCTTTTTGATCTGATTTGGGCTTGAAATTGGTGTGTTTGAGATGGGGAAAAAGCCTGGTATTTATAGCCCAAAATTTTCCGAAGGCACCCAGTTAGGCGGCCGCCCTTCGTCCAGCTTTGGCCGCCCTCCGTCTTGTCGCCGGCAAACCGACGTGCGCCGGTCTTCGTCAGCCGCAGGCGGTCCAGAAGGCGGCCGCCTGCCGTCAAATCGCACCGGCCGGTGGTTGGCTTCGTCCCCTTGTGCCGCAGGCGGCCACTGAGGGCGGCCACTGAGGGCGGCCGCCCTCCGTCCTCCGTCGGCAGCCTTCCGTCTTCTGCTGGTTCGGGTCAAAGTCAACGGTGGATTTCTGATTTTTCAAAGGCGGCCAAGCAGGCGGCCAGATTGAGGGCCTTTTTGGGCGCCTTCTGCTAGTTCGGGTCGAAGTCAACGGTTGACTTCTGATTTTTCAAAGGCGGCCAAGCAGGCGGCCAGATTGGGGGCCTTTTTGGGCGCCTTCTGCCTGTTCGGGTCAAAGTCAACGGTTGACTTCTGCTTTTTCAAAGGCGGCCAAGCAGGCGGCCAGATTGGGGGCCTTTTTGGGCACCTGCTGCTAAATTTGTCTGGCAAATGCTGCGTTTCCTGCTCTTCAAGATTGTCTTCTGGATCACTTTGAAATAATGTTTGCTTCTCCCGGTATGAATTCATTTGTTACTCAAATTGACTCATTTTGTGCTCAATTGACCCGAAATTCCGACAAACATATTATGAATGTGATTTTCACCTGATTTAATGAAACTTGAACCAAAATATCTAAAACATGCCTTTTCTTTCTATTTTCAATCAAAAATCACTTAAATTTGATAAGAAAAATAAGTACAAAAATGGACTTATCACTCATTCGAGGAGTATACCCAGTTCATCGAGGGTAGTTATTAATAACGAGATGCGTTCATTAATAAAACTTACTATCGAGTCAATATAGAACAAGCGCCGTATATTAACTTGATAGTAGCAATAACTTAAGATGAAAACGATTGAGATTGATAACCTCAACACAAGCGGTTTATTGGTTTAATCAATATAATTAATTCCTCTTGGTTTATTAACCATGAAAAGCATGCATTAACAACCCAAGTTTACTACCATTGAAAGAACCGAGTTAATAACAAGCGTATTAATCCGATTGATTCTAGTAATAATTAATATATGAAACAAAACTAATTGATCCTTTAAGCAATGCTCAAATATTAATATGGAATATGAATAGGAAGTAATTAATATTCAAGGAAAAAGATTAAAGAAAATAACTCACAACATACAAATCATTAAGCTTCAAAGTAGCAAAACCAAGATGGAAGAGTTTAGCTCCTCATTTGGAGACTAAACATGAAGAAAATATAAAGAAATAACTTGTCTAAACTGAGCTTAGAAGTATATAGGAATTGGTGTCTTTTTTGTGGAGGAAATGGGGTGTATTTATAGGCTTTTTAGGCCTGCAGGGTCGTGTACCCGATCGAGTATATAGGGTACTCGACCGGGCCTTCAGTTGCTTCGCGGAAGCTGGAAAAACATGGACATACCCGATCGGGTATGTCGGCTACCCGATCGGGTATAGACATTCGATCGTGTTAAAATCTTCCCTGCACGTTGCCTTGTTCGCAGATTTATCCGATTTGATTTTTCAGCAAATTACCCGATCGAGTATAGGGCATACTCGACCGGGTACAACACCAAAAATCAGGATCTTCATTTTTTCTTGGAATTTTTGCACCTTCCTTCCACTTGTGATGTTCACCAATGGTCCCTAGAGTGGTCTTGGACCTGTTTGAGCTCAGAATCAACCTAATCTAAACAATTTTACAAACATTTTACAAACTAAACTATTACACCAAAAGTGTGTAATTTCTAGAGTAACAATCACTTAAAACTAATCAAAAACACAAATATAAACATGGAAATAACATGAATGTCAGCCGCTTGTAGAGGTGGCATTGTTAACAAAACTCCTTCACAAGCGACAAGCTTAATTTCGGAGTTGGCCGAGAACTCACGGCAGTTCAGCCGCAGATCATCAACCCGAAGAGTTCTTGCTGCGGAGTGCAGCACAACCGCTCTAGAAAGTCAAGTTGCCGGCTTGACTTTTTTGATAAAAGAGCTCCTTCTAAAGCCAAAAATTTTGAAGGTCAAAGCTTGCGGCATTTGCACATCAATTGGACACCCCACTAATTCTTGGCAAGAAGAGCAAGTCAATGCCTTGGGTTTCCAAGGACATCAACAAAGGAGGTATGATCCTTTCTCCAATTCTTATAACCTGGGATTAAGGGATCATCCGAACTTGAGGTACGGAAACCCCCAACAATCCAACCAATCTTCTCAACCATCTTTCAACACTCAAGGCTCAAATTCTCAAACTAATATGTCAACTGATGACATGATCCGAACTTTGACCTCAAACATGGTTACCATGCAACAAAACATGGGAGAATTTCAACACACCATGATACAATTCCAACATGAGACAAAGTCAACCATCTTTTCACTCATATTTCGGGTGTTAATTGTCTAATTCTTATAATTAACCGGGTGACTATTGGGAGTTTTGAGTGAAAATTTGTTATTTTTCGGTCCCGGTGGCATTCATTTTCAGTTTAGTATTTTTTCACGCAAATTGACATTTTTGGAGTAATTTGATTGTAAAAATGCATATGATTAGCGGTTGTGGTGAGTTGTGATTTTACAGGTCGAATTTGCGGTGAATAATATATTGTTTGGGCCAAATCATTTGCGGGTTACTTTATTAAGTAGTGAAGCCCAAAGAGTCCATAGGAGCTGGGTTTTTCTCCCGGAAAACAACCCCAGCCGCAGAATAGAAGCCAACCACGATCCATTCCTTTCACGTAGCAGCAGTAGCCCAGGACAAGATCACCCATTCTTTCTTTTCATTTTTCTGAAGAAAACCCCAGCCGCACGAGTTCGTTTTTTTCCCCAGTTCACTTAGCCGCAGAACACAAGCAGCCGTAGCCAGTAGTAGCTCATATTTTTTTTCTTTCTGTTCGTAGTTAAACCGGCCGCCGTAGAAGATCATCCACTTTTTTCCTATTCGAAGCACAAAAACAAGTAGCCGCAGGGGATTTCTTTTTTCTGTTCATTCACTCTTAGCGGCAGCAGCGTTTTCGGGCTTCTACTTGTCAATTAGCCGCAGCCGGCAGTAACTAGAAGACCAGCAGCCGCACCGCACAATTCTGTCATTCTAAACACTGCAGCGAGTTCATTCTCTTCTTCTTCACTGAGCAGCAGCAAGGAGATACCAGACTTCACTTTTCTTCATTTTCTTTCAATTCAATTTACATTCCAAGCAAGAATTGTAAGTTTCAGCATTTTTTACATACTAGTTCGTGAACTTAGATTAAATTTCGAATTGGTTTGTCTCTAATTAGTAATTTCAGAATTTTTCCATTAATTACTTATAATTCAAGTTTTATTTCTAGCTCCATATCATGCTTATCAATATTATTGTGATGTTAATTTTAATTATGAGTAGCTAATTTTTATATAGGGTTTGAATTGGGGCTAGGGTTCATGGGTTCTTGAGGGTGTGAATTTAGTTTTTCTGAAATTCAATTAATTTTCTGGAAAATTGTATAAGATTAATCATAATTGTCTATATGAATTTGATCACCTCATATATGAATTTCTGGATTTAATTCAATTCTTGTCCATGAGAAATTGAGTTAAATTAGCTTGGGTCTTATACAAACAATCTGATCTTAGAAGTAAGTTAGGATTGTGGAAATTTGATTTAATTCTTGTCTATGAGAATTTATTTCATTTTCTTTCTAGGAATTATTGAAAATTAATTTACTTAATTCTAATCCCGAAAGAACACCCAGAACCCGAACCATCCAATTTGAACCCTGTTTTACTATCTTGAATCAATTTAATTTTGTTTCTTTTCACTCTATTTATTTTTGCACTTGATTTTTTTAAACCACCCAAAATCATTATTTGGAAAGATTACCATGACTTGTGCTAGCCTGTGATCACGGACTGTATGTAAAAACTTCCTTTTTGCCACTCCTTGAGAGACGATACTCGTGGTCTGGTTATTCTTCGGATTAGCCAACTACGTTTTACTCACTAAAAAAATACACCGATCAAATGGCGCCGTTGCCGGGGAGTGGCACGGTTGTTTGTTAAGTACTTTTCTGTGGAATAGGTAAAAGCAAGTCGGTGAGACTTTCTATTTTTTTTCTGTTATTTGTTTTTGTTTTCGGTGTTCTTTGCACGTGAACTAAGCTGCAGGAACCAGTGTATGCGCACTCGCTCCTCAGGGGAACAAGATCTAATTGAAGGGTATTCTAATCCTGAACGCTTATTCCGAGGAAGAGCTAAAAGGCGTTTGCTAGAAGATTTGGAAAAAATGGCTGATCAGACAACTCTGGAGAGGTTGACGCCTAACTATGTGGCGAGAAATAGCATTGGTGCACCCACCATTGAGGCCAACAATTTTGAAATCAAGCCGGCCATGATCCAGATGCTTACTAATAATCCATTCTGTGGATACACGCATGAAGATCCAATGGAGCATATTGAGAGCTTTATTCAGACTTGTGCCACGTTCAAATATAATGGAGTGTCCAGCGAAGCAGTCAGGTTGACTTTATTCCCGTTCTCGTTGAAAGACAAAGCTTCACGGTGGCTCCGTAGCTTTCCAAACGGGCATTTTGATACATGGGAGAAGCTTCATCAGGCATTTATGCAGGAGTATTTTCCTCCCTCTGCCGCTATCAAGGTTCAGACGGAAATTCTCAATTTCACTCAAGCTCCAACCGAAACTTTCAGTGAAGCGTGGGATAGGCTGAAGACGCTGAAAAGGAAGTGCCCTGAAACATTCATGAATGCAGCAACAATTATGTGCAGATTTTATAATGGGTTGCGGTTGGAGTATATGAGAGAACTCGATCGGGCATCTCAAGGGGGTATGTTTCTGAAATTATCCCCACAGGCAGAAGAGCAAATAATTGAAAACTTGGCTTCAAATGACAAGTATTGGTATGCGGGTAAAGAGAGAGCTCAAAATCCACCCGGTTTGCTCAATCTTGATCCCATCACTGCACTTACAGCGAAGATTGAGGGGCTGGTAGTGGAAGTGAAAGACTTGAAGGCGCAGACCTCTCAACAGCAGCAAGTTCATAATATTGGGGCATATCAGCCCTCTTATCCTATGTATTCTGCCCCACTTCCTGTTCGAGCAAGCTATCCAAGCCCAACCGGCCAAGAACTCGCTTTATCTTGCGAGATGTGCATGGGAGCTCACTTCACTCACACATGTCCTCTTTATGTTCAGAATCAGGCATCACCAGTGGTCCAGAATGTCAATTTCATGGAATATGGTCAAGGCCATAGAGGAGGTGGACAATTTTTCAACAATCAAGGTCAGAGGGGAAACTTTCAGCAAGCAGAAGGCACGTGGAGGCCTGAAAATCAGAATCAAGGGCAGCGAAATGCCCCTAATTTTCAAGGAAATTTTCAGAACAGAGGCAATTCAAATCAGCCCACTTATATCCCGCCTCATCAAAGACAGTTTAAGCAGCTTCCTGTAAATGCAGCGCTAGAGAAAACAGTGGTTGAATTAGCCAAAAACCAAGCGGAGATGCACCAGCGTTTCAGCAACCTGGAAGCTCTTATCCGCCAGCTTGGCTCAAGTGCTTCAAGAGAATCGGGCAGCCTTCCGAGTTCAACAGAACCCAATCCAAGGGAGCAAGTGCAGGCCGTTACACTACGCAGCGGGAGAACCCTTAAAGAAGATGATATTCTGATTGTACCTCAACAAAAAGAGGACCAGCAACCTCAAGTGGCTGAAGAACCAGTGGCTGCCCCTATTCCATCCAAGAGTAATGAAGCTCAAAAAGAAGACTCTCAGAAGAAAAAGGAGAGTAAGAAGACTCCACCCCTTCCGTTTCCTACACGGGTGAAGAAGAGCAACGATAACACGAACTTGATTAGATTTATGGAGCATCTGAAGCAGCTCCATATCAATATGCCATTCATGGAAGCTTTGACGGAGATGCCGAGCTACGCAAAATTTATGAAGGACCTCCTTACGAAAAAGAGGAGGTGGGAAGAGCCAGAAGTGGTGGATCTCAATGCAGAATGTTCAGCAGTTGTTCTGAAGACCATGCCTCCAAAATTAAAAGACCCAGGGAGTTTTCTTGTACCTTGTTCTATTGGAAATTTTAAGTTTAATAATGCTTTAGCTGATTTAGGAGCTAGCATCAACCTGATGCCTTCCTCCGTGGTCATGAAACTTGGCTTGGGTGAACTTAAGCCCACTCGTATGTGCCTCCAGCTAGCGGACCGATCGGTGAAATACCCGAAAGGAATTCTAGAGGATGTATTAGTACGGGTGGAAAAGTTCATATTCCCTGTTGATTTTGTTGTCATGGACATGGAGGAAGATCGTGAGACTCCGCTTATTTTAGGAAGGCCCTTTCTAGCTACTGCTAGGGCCCTTGTTGATGTTGCTGATGGTACACTTTCTCTGAGAGTTGGAGATGATGTGTGTACTTTTAAACTCTCAGAGGTGACGAGTAAGACCTCAGACCCCACTGAATCATGCAATTATCTTGATATGTTTGAGTCAGTGGAGGGGTATTTGTTTGGAGGCGATAGTGATATTACCCCACCGGATAGTGACATTCATTATATGGGGGATGTTGTGGCCGAAAATGAAGAAGAAATGACTGTTGATTGCGAGCAGGTGATTAAGGATGATGTTTTCTCTAAGTTGCTTACTGAGTTTAAGGAGCAGCCCACTGATAAGGTTACTCCTGAACTCAAACCGCTCCCTAGTCACCTGGAGTATGCGTTTTTGGACACAGAGGGCCAGCACCCTGTTATTATTTCAGCTCAGTTAGAGTCGGGACAAAAGGAAAAATTGGTGACATTTATGCGTTGTATGATAGCTATCTTTAAAAAGTTTATTGGTGACTTTAAGGAGGTTCTAAGCCTTGAGCCAGGTTAGGAATGAGAATCTTTGTCAAGCTAGTGACGTTAAAGAAGCGCTTTTGGGAGGCAACCCACCAAAAAGAGAAAATGAAAAAAAAAAGAATTGGGAGTTTCCTTTCTTTTCTTTTCCTGTTTTTGCATCTTTGTTTTTGTTGTCATCTCGTGGTTGTTTGGTTGGAATTCTTTGCTCTGAATTGCAGGTACGCCAAGGTGATCATATACTGGTGTGGAGGAAGAAACACAACTTTATGAAGATGGGGCTATTCAACAGTTTCATAGCAGGCCATTGAGATGGATTTGGATTTGAGACCTAAACTTGCTTGAGAAGTGAAGTCACTGGCAGCAATTAACCAAATGTTTGGAGATCCTGGATGGCACCGCATGCTGATTTTTTAGGACCAGATCAGCTGCCCATTGACAGTAGAACACTTTGATGGGATAAGCAGACTTTGCTGGCAGATTTAGACCTTGGGTTGAAGACTGGCTGAAGGCTTCCAAGGAATGTCATTCTACGCAGGAGAAACATTTCACGCTAATTTTAGATTGATTAGACAGTGAACCGGGCTGGCTTATCACGTTCTCCACTAATTTCCTTTTTTGGAGCTTATCTGAACGCGTTTTAGAGAACGAAGCAGTGCCCGTAGTCTAGTCTTTACTTCACCAGTGCACCAGACAGCGATTCACACTTACTCAAGATTGGAAGAGTTCACAGCAGCATATATGATGCGAGCAAGTTCACCGGGCAGAGTCCACACTTCAAATTGAACCTTCGGTCACCACACTTTGGACAAACTGTCATTTCAGTGACAGGATTCAGCAGCTTCTACACACTGAGGAGACCGATTTCAGATTTATTATGGAGGTTATTCACCGTCGTTTGGCTTGTACGGTATTCTGCCAACTTTTACTACACTACTAAGAATGTGTGTTTACTCTCATATTACTCCTCTTGTGTGATTTGTGTTGATTATTATTCTGATTATGATGTGTTGCCGGGCTGATAATCATTTTATTCATTAACTTGCCCCTGCTATTTTTGCTTTTAAATCTTTTCTTTTACCTCGAGGGCGATGTCACCCCTAAGTGTGGGGAGGTTTGGTTTTAGCTTGGACATGGCATTTGGTGATGAAGTTATTTTGCCCAAAAACATTTTGAGGTGCACGAGGTTTTTTCTGGTTTAGCAACGCAATAGAGGTAACTTGTTAATCTTTATTTTCTTTTGTAATCTTCCATCTCCTCCATCTTTCTTGGAAATAATAAGTAATGTTGTAATCATCGGGGTGGTGTGTATATTCTTGGGAGATGTTGGCATGTTGGATGGTTTGATTTGTGTTGATTGAATTCGGTGTTACTAGTGATTCACTTGTTCGTCATCAATAATTCCTTGACTGGCCACCTGTTGAAAATCCTTACTCCGTAAGGAGCTCTGCTTTCTAAGCATATCGGGATAACTTCATGCTAAGTAGGTAACTGATTCTTGTAATGGGATTACACTTCGTGTGTCGAGAATTTCATCCCCGAAATGGGGCTCTGCTCATCTCGCGAATCACCTCGTGTGAGAGTTGAGTACACAGTAATGAGATAAACTCCCAGGCCCTAGAGCTTGAATCAGTCCTGCAATCCAGAACATGGTCAACTTTACCTATTCAAAAAAAAAAAAAAAAGAATCACGAGTATACCAGTTTTATCACACAACTCTTGGGTTTTTGGAATGATTGGTGGTTTGAATTTCACACACCTACACCGTTGGGACCATCATGCTTTTCTTTACATTTTAGTCGGTTGGAGAGGGATTTTACTTTTGAAAATATTGTTTAACATGTGAATCTCGGTTTCGTTGTTAAGGAAGAAAAGCCCTTGTGCAGTCATTTGTTTTGGGTGTGAATGATTTCTGAACCAGGTGTTACATGTGATTATTTTGTTTTCTGTGGGTTTAATGCACTGTTTCTTGGGGGCAAGCAACGCTCAAGTGTGGGGAGATTTGATAGGCTCGTTCCGTTCCTATCTTTTCACTCATATTTCGGGTGTTAATTGTCTAATTCTTATAATTAACCGGGTGACTATTGGGAGTTTTGAGTGAAAATTTGTTATTTTTCGGTCCCGGTGGCATTCATTTTCAGTTTAGTATTTTTTCACGCAAATTGACATTTTTGGAGTAATTTGATTGTAAAAATGCATATGATTAGCGGTTGTGGTGAGTTGTGATTTTACAGGTCGAATTTGCGGTGAATAATATATTGTTTGGGCCGAATCATTTGCGGGTTACTTTATTAAGTAGTGAAGCCCAAAGAGTCCATAGGAGCTGGGTTTTTCTCCCGGAAAACAACCCCAGCCGCAGAATAGAAGCCAACCACGATCCATTCCTTTCACGTAGCAGCAGTAGCCCAGGACAAGATCACCCATTCTTTCTTTTCATTTTTCTGAAGAAAACCCCAGCCGCACGAGTTCGTTTTTTTCCCCAGTTCACTTAGCCGCAGAACACAAGCAGCCGTAGCCAGTAGTAGCTCATATTTTTTTTTTTCTTTCTGTTCGTAGTTAAACCGGCCGCCGTAGAAGATCATCCACTTTTTTCCTATTCGAAGCACAAAAACAAGTAGCCGCAGGGGATTTCTTTTTTCTGTTCATTCACTCTTAGCGGCAGCAGCGTTTTCGGGCTTCTACTTGTCAATTAGCCGCAGCCGGCAGTAACTAGAAGACCAGCAGCCGCACCGCACAATTCTGTCATTCTAAACACTGCAGCGAGTTCATTCTCTTCTTCTTCACTGAGCAGCAGCAAGGAGATACCAGACTTCACTTTTCTTCATTTTCTTTCAATTCAATTTACATTCCAAGCAAGAATTGTAAGTTTCAGCATTTTTTACATACTAGTTCGTGAACTTAGATTAAATTTCGAATTGGTTTGTCTCTAATTAGTAATTTCAGAATTTTTCCATTAATTACTTATAATTCAAGTTTTATTTCTAGCTCCATATCATGCTTATCAATATTATTGTGATGTTAATTTTAATTATGAGTAGCTAATTTTTATATAGGGTTTGAATTGGGGCTAGGGTTCATGGGTTCTTGAGGGTGTGAATTTAGTTTTTCTGAAATTCAATTAATTTTCTGGAAAATTGTATAAGATTAATCATAATTGTCTATATGAATTTGATCACCTCATATATGAATTTCTGGATTTAATTCAATTCTTGTCCATGAGAAATTGAGTTAAATTAGCTTGGGTCTTATACAAACAATCTGATCTTAGAAGTAAGTTAGGATTGTGGAAATTTGATTTAATTCTTGTCTATGAGAATTTATTTCATTTTCTTTCTAGGAATTATTGAAAATTAATTTACTTAATTCTAATCCCGAAAGAACACCCAGAACCCGAACCATCCAATTTGAACCCTGTTTTACTATCTTGAATCAATTTAATTTTGTTTCTTTTCACTCTATTTATTTTTGCACTTGATTTTTTTAAACCACCCAAAATCATTATTTGGAAAGATTACCATGACTTGTGCTAGCCTGTGATCACGGACTGTATGTAAAAACTTCCTTTTTGCCACTCCTTGAGAGACGATACTCGTGGTCTGGTTATTCTTCGGATTAGCCAACTACGTTTTACTCACTAAAAAAATACACCGATCATCAAGCATAAAAAATCTGGAAACTCAAGTTAGCCAAATTTCAAATGTTGTGAGCCGACTTGAAGCAAAGGACTCGGGTAAACTCCCATCTCAAACGGAGCAAAACCCGAGACAACATGTGAATGCTATGATGTTGAGAAGTGGGACGACATTGAAAGAGTTAGAGAAGGAAGATCAAAAGGTTGAGCAAGTTGATCGTGAAGAGGAAGCTAATCAGAGGAGGGAATCACAAAAGCAAAACTACCTCCACTTTCATCGTATGAACCAATAGCCCCGTTCTCCGAGGCGCTGAGGCAAACAAAGAAGCCAAGGAGAGATGCGGATATCTATGAGACTTTCTCCGAGTGTGAGGTAAATATTCCACTCCTTAACTTGATTAAAAGTGTCCCTCGATTCGCGAAATTTTAAAAACAATTATGCACAATCAAGAGGACACAACACTCAAAGGGAAAACAGAAAGTTGAAATTAGTGAACATGTTTCGGTAGTTTTTCAAAGAAAACTCCCAAAAAAATATACTGACCCGGGCATGTTCACTATACTGTGCAAGCTAGGGGACACCGTTTCTAGGGCCATGTTAGACTTAGGGGCATCAATTAACGTGATCCCCTATAATCTTTATAAATCTTTGAACCTTGGCCCTTTAAATAAAACCGGTGTCACAATTCAACTGGCCGACAATTCAACTATTTTCCCAAAAGGGGTAGTGGAAGATGTACTAGTTTAGGTAGGTGATCTAGTGTTTCCTGCCGATTTTTACATACTTGAAATGGAGAGTGATGAACACGAAGTCCCTATTTTATTAGGTAGACCATTTCTAAAAACTGCTAATTCAAGAATTGATGTTTCGGACTTTTGACAATGGAATTTGATGGAAAGAAAATAGAATATAACATTTATAATTCTATAAAAAAAAATTTATAATTCTATTAAAAATCACTCTCCCTTTAAAGAATCAATTTTGATTATTGAGGAATTAGTAGATAAACCACCGGCAGTTGAGGTGATAGCAAGAAAGAAAGCTCGACCTTACTGGAAAAGGTCGAAAAATAAAAATGAAACAAGGTCAAACCGGGCCTTGAAGGAGAAACGAGATGTTCATGATCCCACATAAAACTGAAAAAATAAAATAAAAATAACGTCGTGCCGCGACGTTAACTAAGGCACTTCGTAGGAGGCAACCCGGGCAAAGGTACGTAGTTTTCCAATCCTTTTTGTTTTTTTTTTAGTTTTGAATGTCCACTTTGAGAGAATGGGGGACAATTCCTTAAAGAAAGTGGGAGAAAAACATGCTTTTAACATCTTGGGGAAACCTCCGATCGGGTATAATCACTTACCCGATCGGATCCAAGCCAAAAAATGAACGAAACCAAGCTCCAGGGTGAAGTACCCGATCGGGTAACAACATTTCACCCGGTCGGATACATCAAAGAAAAGCCTGATGTGGATCGAGTACTCTATACTCGATCTGGGTAAGTTAAAAAAATGAACGGATACCCGATCAGGTATATTTATTTACCCGGTCGGGTATATTTTAAGAAATCCTACGACGAAGCCAATCCGATCGCGTACACCCCATATTCGATCGGGTACACGACCCTTGGAGCGTTTTTTAAAATCTGATGTATTACCCCGATCGGGTACACTCATATACCCGGTCGGGTGAATTAAAATAAAAGGCTGGAATTTCCTACGGCGTGATTTACCCGATCGATTACTACCCAAACTCGATCGGGCCCGACCCCGGAACAAGAGTAAAAAACTGCCATACTCGATCCGGTATGTCAGGCTACCCGGTCGGGCACACAAGTTTTAAACCCAATTGATGCCCCTAAGTCTAACATGTGCCAATGTACTAGTTTCGGTAGGTGATCTAGTGTTTCCTGTTGATTTTTACATACTTGAAATGGAGAGTGATGAACATGAAGTCCCTATTTTATTAGGTAGACCATTTCTAAAAACTGCTAATTCAAGTATTGATGTTTCTAGCGGACTTTTGACAAAGGAATTGTATCATAGTGTGTTGAAATTCTCCCATATTCCACTCCTTAACTTGATTAAAAGTGTCCCTCGATTCGCTAAATTTTTAAAACAATTATGCACAAACAAGAGGACACAACACTCAAAGGGAAAACAGAAAGTTGAAATTAGTGAACATGTTTTGGCAGTTTTTCAAAGAAAACTCCCAAAAAAATGTACTGACCCGGTGGAAGATGTACTAGTTTCGGTAGGTGATCTAGTGTTTCCTGCCGATTTTTACATACTTGAAATGGAGAGTGATGAACATGAAGTCCCTATTTTATTAGGTAGACCATTTCTAAAAACTGCTAATTCAAGAATTGATGTTTCTAGCGGACTTTTGACAAAGGAATTGTATCATGGTGTGTTGAAATTCTCCCATATTCCACTCCTTAACTTGATTAAAAGTATCCCTCGATTCGCTAAAATTTTAAAACAATTATGCACAATCAAGAGGACATAACACTCAAAGGGAAAACAGAAAGTTGAAATTAGTGAACATGTTTCGGCAGTTTTTCAAAGAAAACTCCCAAAAAAATATACTGACCCGGGCATGTTCACTATATTGTGCAAGCTAGGGGACACCGTTTCTAGGGCCATGTTAGACTTAGGGGCATCAATTAACGTGATCCCCTATAATCTTTATAAATCTTTGAACCTTGGCCCTTTAAACAAAACCGGTGTCACAATTCAACTGGCCGACAATTCAACTATTTTCCCAAAAGGGGTAGTGGAAGATGTACTAGTTTCGGTAGGTGATCTAGTGTTTCCTGCCGATTTTTACATACTTGAAATGGAGAGTGATGAACATGAAGTCCCTATTTTATTAGGTAGACCATTTCTAAAAACTGATAATTCAAGAATTGATATGATGTTTCTAGCGGACTTTTGACAATAGAATTTGATGGAAAGAAAATAGAATATAACATTTATAATTCTATTAAAAATCACTCTCCCTTTAAAGAATCAATTTTGATTATTGAGGAATTAGTAGATAAACCACCGGCAGTTGAGGTGATAGCAAGAAAGAAAGCTCGGCCTTACTGGAAAAGGTCGGAAAATAAAAATGAAACATGGTCAAACCGGGCCTTGAAGGAGAAACGAGATGTTCATGATCCCACATAAAACTGAAAAAATAAAATAAAAATAACGTCGTGCCGCGACGTTAACTAAGGCACTTCGTAGGAGGCAACCCGGGCAAAGGTACGTAGTTTTCCAATCCTTTTTGTTTTTTTTTTTTTTAGTTTTGAATGTCCACTTTGAGAGAATGGGGGACAATTCCTTAAAGAAAGTGGGAGAAAAACATGCTTTTAACATCTTGGGGAAACCTCCGATCGGGTATAATCACTTACCCGATCGGATCCAAGCCAAAAAATGAACGAAACCAAGCTCCAGGGTGAAGTACCCGATCGGGTAACAACATTTCACCCGGTCGGATACATCAAAGAAAAGCCTGATGTGGATCGAGTACTCTATACTCGATCTGGGTAAGTTAAAAAAATGAACGGATACCCGATCAGGTATATTTATTTACCCGGTCGGGTATATTTTAAGAAATCATACGACGAAGCAAATCCGATTGCGTACACCCCATATTCGATCGGGTACACGACCCCCGGAGCGTTTTTGAAAATCCGATGTATTACCCGATTGGGTGCACTCATATACCCGGTCGGGTGAATTAAAATACAAGGCTGGAATTTCCTATGGCGTGATTTACCCGATCGATTACTACCCAAACTCGATCAGGCCCGACCCCGGAACAAGAGCAAAAAACTGCCATTCTCGATCTGGTATGTCGGGCTACCCGGTCGGGCACACAAGTTTTAAACCCATACCGTTTCTAGGGCCATGTTAGACTTAGGGGCATCAATTAACGTGATCTCCTATAATCTTTATAAATCCTTGAACCTTGGCCCTTTAAACAAAACCGGTGTCACAATTCAATTGGCCGACAATTCAACTATTTTCCCAAAAGGGGTAGTGGAAGATGTACTAGTTTCGGTAGGTGATCTAGTGTTTCCTTCCGATTTTTACATACTTGAAATGGAGAGGGATGAACATGAAGTCCCTATTTTATTAGGGAGACCATTTTTGAAAACTGCTAATTAATTCAAGAATTGATGTTTCTAGCGGACTTTTGACAATGGAATTTGATGGAAAGAAAATAGAATATGACATTTATAATTCTATTAAAAATCACTCTCCCTTTAAAGAATCAATTTTGATCATTGAGGAATTACTAGATAAACCACCAGCAGTTGAGGTGATATCAAGAAAGAAAGCTCGGCATTACTGGAAAAGGTCGAAAAATAAAAATGAAACATGGTCAAACCGGGCCTTGAAAGTACTAGGAACATTTAAACAAGTTCCTAACAAGATTTTATCATCACAAAACCCATATCAATACAAATAACCTCTAAAAGATTATTTTCCGGCGAACGGTCACTTTGGCTTCTAAGTCCGTTCTTGGACTTTGAACTACCTTCCAACCCCTCATTCTATACCTCTAAACATGTAGAACAATTCTAGCGGTCCTCCATATGATACATAAATCATATGATATCCAAATATGAAAGAAAAGTTGCTAAGGAGCTACTCACCTCTATTCTTAAGGTTTTTCTACTTTTGCAATTCCTTCTTCTTCCTTAAGCTCCTTGTTTGCTTGAGGTTGCTTTGGCTATGAAAGAATGGTGTTGCTGATCCTCCCCTCTCCTTTCTGTTTGCTTGGGTTGAAATAATGCTAGGGGAAAACGGTTGAGAGCTTGTTTTGTCTCAATTGAGCTAGCTAATGAGTGATGGGAGGGGTCCCTTTGGTTGTCAACAATGTCTCACCCATATATTCTTACATCCATCCCATGCTCCACAGACCCCAAATCAAGTATTGAGCACACAAAAACGTGGGGTGGCCCCCACTCATATGGGAGGTCATCTCAAAATGTCCCGAACTGTACATTCGATCCCGAAAGTTGTATTTCTGGACTGTTTTAATTATATTTTATTTAATTGGGTTAAATAAAATACATCACATGATCTCAATCACTATGGGCCTTTTGAATGAGTATACATTCCCCAACTTTAATTTAGAAGTCTCCAAAATTCATTTCGAGCTGTTATCTGATAAATTACCAAAACTGGTTGTTGGTAGAAAATGCCCCGGGTAAAGAAAGCGGCATCGCTTTAGTATAGTTGAAATAACGTAGTGAATACATGTGGCCATGTGGGTGATGACCTATTTATAGGCATCCACCACAAGTCCAAATAATAATGATACGTGGGCTTGGCCCAATTTAATAACTAGTACTAACGCTAATGGGCCAGCAAGCCCAATATGTAAGTCAACAAGCTCGGACCAAATTTCGCTAGTCAGGCTGTGTCCTGGGCCTGGTCGGGACTAGGCTCGGGCGCAACGGGCCGATAGTACTGGACCCGGCCTATTATCCCAAAACAAGTCTCCCACTCCCTTAGTCGAGAGTAGACTCGGCTAAAAGGGAGTAGTTGAGCTGCTCTAAAATTGGCCCGGTTGTCGGACTAGCTAGCTGGTTGCATAGCTTGTTGTTGATAATTGCAATCCGAGTTATGTAAGGATGAGATTTCCCTCGTCTGAGTAGCAGCCTGGGGTCTTAGTTGTCCGACTAGCCGCCCAGAATCTTGTTTGTCCTAACCAGGGATACCTCTTACTTTGTTCATAATAAGGGGTGCCTCGTTAAAACCTTACAAGGAAAAAACCCGGTAAGAAAAAATCCCAATGAAGGAAAAGGAGTACATTGGTGCCCCAAAATAAAGCAAAAGAAGGCCAGTTCCCCAGCTCTTGATCACCCGCTTGCTTTAATTCCTACTGCTTGCGAATGGAACGGGGTCTCCCCGGTATGCAATGTTCTCTAATAGTTTCGTTGATTCGGGCCCTTGAAACATGGGCCTTTTCTCTAATAGCTGCATCACTTGGACCTTTCTCCAGCCCCATGGCGCCACCACTGCATAACACTCGGTCCCGTCTAAGAAGGCAATGCAGCTCCACACCAACGTACTATACGTCTCCGCAGAGGAAGGGTCGCGCATCTAGGTCGTCGCGAGGAGGAGCCGCTCGACAATCTGTATCACTTCCGATTCTGTTTCGGGCTGGCCATCGTAGAGAAGCAAAAAGTTTGGGATCGAGCTCACCTGGGATGGTTCTTCGCACGACCAAGACTGACCGGGAGTTAGCCATGTCGTCGTCGCCGCCTGCTCGGCCTAGCCGTCGAGACCCCATGCATGAACGGGCCCATGGAGCGAGAAATTCTAAAGAAGCTGCCCAGCGAGACACGAAGGAGATCCAATAGTGATCCGATCACTTGCAGACGAGGAAAGCCAGAAATCTAGGCCCTTTTCATCCTCTTTGCTTGAAGTGGTTGGTCCGGCAGTTTTCACGCAAAATCAACATGATGCGGGTACTGTCTACTCGCGATTAGATGAGAGTGGAATGAGAGGCTATCATCGGTCCATGCACCGCCAACATGGCTCTATTGCAGTTGGTCAGTAAGGATGAGCAACCTCACTCCTTTACCAATCGTTTTTTAGGGGGTTTAATAGGTTATCCAGAACAGGGCCCCCAGATTTAAGGGGCCCCATATTTTTAAAAAATTATTAGTAATTATATTAATATTAATATAAATACATCATTTTTTCGTTAGTCATTTTACTCTTTTAGTTCTCTTTTAATGAGTATTCCATTGATTTGAGTATAAATATTTCGATTGAGATTTTTTAATAATTTTTTATATTAATTTGGGGCCCCGCTTTTACATTTTGAACCGGGACCTCCAAATTCATTAGACGGCCCTGTCACCAATGCTGTTCGAAAAACTCAAAGTTCGAAACCTGAAGTTTGAAAATCAAGGTTCGAAAAACAAACTTCGAAAATAAGAAGTTCGAAAGTTTTAATTTGAAAAATCTAAGTTCGAAAACTATCCTTAAGCAGCAAAAACCTGTTCTTCAAAAAATGCCCTGCGAAAACTGCTGTTCGAATAACTGCTGTTGATGTTTGAAAATTGTCCTGTATTCAAAAAACAGAGAAAAATCGAGAAATATGCAAATCTGTCGAAAACACAAATGAAGTTTCAATACACGTCCGTTTCGATCAGGCAATTCCAATAGTATAACTTTTGCTAATTTTTGAGCAGAAAAGAGTAGAAACCGAGCAGAAATTCGAAAATGATGAAAAATGAGAAACAAAGCTCTTTCTTCAATCGATCTTCACTCGTCTGCTCTGATACCAATTCTTGATCCCTATTTTGATCTATTCTAGCAGATATGGAAGCACAAGAATGAAATAGACACCGAAAGGAATTCCATTAGAATGATATGAAGTTTTTCGAATAGATGAAATTTCTCTAGCGCTACTATCGAAAAGCTCAGGTGAAGCTACAGTCTATTTTTCTCAAAGTTGTTCGTTGTTCATTACTAAGCGCACATTTATATGCGTAGGTTGTACAACATACCTAAAAAGGCTAAATTTGGGCCTTACACATAAATTGCCCTTATCCATTTGAAGCCTATTCCATTTATTACACTTTATTCCATAAAAGGTAAATAAAAAAATTTAATTATAACAACTTAGAAAGAAGAAAAAACTTATTGATGGTGAAATTAAGATAAGAAGAAAGAAAAGAAGAAAGAAGAAGAAACATAAACAAAGTACCAAGTAGAGAAAGGGGGGGGGGGGGGGGTGAAAATAAAAAGAAAATATAACAAAAAGTAGAGTGAGAAAGAAGATACTCTCTCCATCATGTTGGAATGTTCCCGTTCACTATTCATTGGTCAACTTAGGTCACTCCTAATCTTTTACTTTATATATCAAATATTTATCAAATTGAACTTTTCTTGATCAGGCTTTGTAGCGGTTTTAATGTAGTTTCTGAATATGTAAATTTTATTTACTAAAAGTAAGCGGAGTGTGAACAGGGATCGAGTTGCTTTATCGTCGGTCAAGCATCGTAAACCGAACGGGAACATTCCAACGGGACGGAGGTAGTATTTAATAAGGAAAAAAAGATTAAAAAGAAAAACATAAACAGGGAAATGAAATAAAAAATACGAGAAGAAAAAGAAAACAATCGACAAAAAGAGCTATTCTGGAGGGAAATTGTACAACAAAAAAAAACTCTTCTAACATAGTGAGAAATTGAATAATAAAAAGGGAAAAAAAATATGTACTAAAGGATAGAAAAAGGAAGAAAAAAAGTGTCCAGTGATGAAAATAAAGAAAGATAAATTTTAGGGGAAAGAAAAGAAAAAATGAAACATGTGACCATTTTGAGCAGATTAGTGAAATGTGGGATTATTTATGTAATGTTTCAAAAAAAGGTAATAAACCTGGTATAGTAGGTCATCAACCGATCAGAGTCCAACGAAAGAAGATGATGTGCAAATGTGAGATTATTATGAGATTATTACGAGAAGACTGATAAAAAGTGTGATTTTTTTTTTGTAATTTTTTTTCTTTTTTATACGTACTTGTATATTTATAACTTTAAGTAAATCTAATTACAAAATAAATGTGAAATGTTTGATTAAATTGTAGTGTATATTCACCTCTCATAAAATTTTATGAATACATACATCAATATAACAATAAATTAGTAATAACGAATATAAAGATGGACTTTTAACATCATCCACACACGATAGCAAGTCAAATTTCCATTGAAAGAAACATCATAAAATAATCACACAGCACAATCATTAGTTAATTCATTATTACTATTATTGGAATAATGTGGGCGGAATATGTGTTATCACATGGTACGCATGTGCTATACGCGTATACCTTTAGAGGCTGGTTGACAACACTGTTTTTCGACTTATCGGATTTATCGGTCAACTTTTCGATCAAACACATAACTTTTGCTTTCGCGCACTGAATTGTGTAATAAGCAGAAAACGTAAGGTTGTAGTTACTTTACTGGATGTATTGACTGAAGTTACTATAGGTGACCATTTTAGCTATTTGTACATATACTTTTTTTATTAATAAATTATATTTAAAAAATAGTTTTTCTTAAATCAGAAGAATCAGCCAATGCAGCCATTTCAACCAAAACTTCATAAATTTAAGCAGAATCAGCCAAATCAACTGATTTTCGTGCTAGTCTCTTATTTTATTTGGGAAATGAAATCACCATCGGCCATTAATTCCTTATTATTAGTCATTCCGTAGTATACTACTCCGTAATAATATATATAAAGGGGAATTTTAACTTTGAAACTCACTTTTGAGGTGATATACGGAGTAAAATAATTGAATTTGCACCCTATTTCGGATGTTTTCTTCACAAAAAGTGTGGTACTGGGTGCAAACTCAAAGAATTTTAAAAATATGGTACATAGTCCAATAATTTCACCCAAAACGTGAGATACAAAGTCAAATTCCCTAATGTAAATGATGTTATTATATAAATTAAGTTTCATTCAACGTATTCTTTTAAGAAAAGTATTCCATACCTTTTAAGGAATTTTAATGCTACTTAATTACATAATTAGAAAAATTAATTGTCAATGTTATGGAAAGAAAATGAGTAAAATGGTGTAAGGGTGTGTTCTGTAGGATTAATTGATTTAGGCTCAAATCAGATGAAAACATATTGATAACACAACGTAACCCTTAAATAGGTTAAGTTAGTATATAGACCAAAGCAAATAAAACGACAAAATCCGCTACTTAGCGGTCGCGAGCGGCTCCGCTACTGCTACAGGTCGCTATTACGGTGTGAAAGCAAATCACGATGAAATCCGCTATTTAACCGCGACGCAACCGTGACGGAGCCGCTACGCCACCTCCGTATTGGTCCTCTTCACGCCGCTACTAGCCACAATAGGCCGCCTCCAGCCAGAACGGGATTGCTTCACCATTAATTCAGCTTAGCTTGGTATGGTCAATTGGGCTGAAGGCAGTCTGTTTTTTCGCATTCCTGTCTTGTGCGAACTTGAAAATATTTCCCGTCGTAGCGGCCTCTTTACGCATCGTAACAGCCGCATTAACTGTTATCGCTAATTCGCTATGACCGCCACCGCTACTACTGCCGCTAGCACTATTCAAAACATTGAGTTACAGGGTTACAGTTGTAGCGGCAATTAAGTCGTTCGGTCAATTAAGTTCATCGTAGAAATTCTCTAATTTTTCAAGATATTTACCCAAGGGGCCAAGGCTAAGCCAAGAGCACTATAAGTGTCTTTGGTTAGGGTACTTTTGGTTCAAGTCATTGAGTAATAGAGTATTATTAATTAGCATTAATTAGCTTTCCATATTTCATTAGTTTCCTATTGTATTTTGGATACTCCTTTATTATATATACGACATCCAGGGCTACCACATTGGTAAGCATTCCCATAATTGTAACATGGTATCAGAGCTCTAGGGTTTTAATCAAAAAAAAAATTCGGCCCTATGACTACCGAAGGAACCGCAGCCGCCAGCTCCTCCACCGTCACCGCCGCCATCTCTACGACGATGACGGAATCTCCTGTGCTGAGCGCGGTCTCTATGCCGGTTTCTACACCGGTGATTGATCCTGTTTTCTCCACCACTCTGGCGCCGATCTCCATCTCAACCGAGCAGCCGAGTTCGGTGTTTACAACGGCGACTTCATCATCTGCGCCGCCGTCTTCATGGGTCCCGCCTCTCTTCACGTGGACGCCAACGGTTTCGAGCTTGCAGTCAATGCCACAACATTTTTCATTCGTTGTCGGAGAATCCAGCAGTACTGCCGCCCAGAATTTAGCTGGCATTTTTGCCTCAAAAAGCATAGTGCGAGTTAATTCTAGAAGATGACGGTGTTTTCTTTAAGTGGATGATATTATTATCACTGGTAATTCCCCTTCCTTTATCTCTTCCTTTATTACATGCCTTGGCCGTTACTTTGCTATGAAGGATTTAGGGGATTTACAAGCTACTCGTGTTCCTAAAGGATTATTTCTGTCTCAGCAAAAATATGTGTCTGATATGTTAACAAGGTTTCATCTTCATACTCTTAAACCTGTTCATCCACCTCTTCCTTCTAGAACTAAGTTATCTCTCACTGATGGTGAACTTCTTGCAGACCCTATGGAGTACAGAAGTATGGTAGGTGCTCTACAGTATTTGACCATGACTCGACCTGATATTACATTTGCTGTTCACTTGGTTTCCCAATTTATGCATGCTCCCCGTACTTCCCATATTTTGGCTGTTAAGCGGATTTTTAGGTACCTCCAAGGCACGCCAGATCACGGTCTCCTTCTCCAGCCGGATCGGTCATCTCCAACTATTCAAGCTTATTCTGATGCTGATTGGGCAGGATGTCCTGATAGTAGCCGCTCTACGTCTGGCTTTTCCATTTTCTTGGGTCCAAACTTGATTTCCTGGAAGTCCAAAAAGCAGCCCACTGTATCTCGATCCTCTACTGAAGCTGAATACAGGGCCATTGCTTACACAGTTCAGGATATGTTGCATATCAGGTCCATACTTTTCGAGTTAGGGGTACCCATCCGCAGTCCTGTTCGATTGTTATGTGACAATGTCTCTGCTTCATATTTATCTACTAATCCTATTCAGCATGCACGTAGCAAACACATCAGCATTGATTATCATTTTGTTCGTGAGCGAGTATCACATGGAGATTTGGTTGTTCGTCATGCACCTACACAGCATCAGCTTGCAGATATTTTCACCAAGTGTCTGTCTACGCAGTGGTTTATCTTTCTTAGAGACAATCTGCGCGTTGTATCCCCTGCACAGATTGAGGGGGTGTAATAGAGTATTATTAATTAGCATTATTTAGCTTTCCATATTTCATTAGTTTCCTATTGTATTTTGGATACTCCTTTATTATATATACGACATCCAGGGCTACCACATTGGTAAGCCTTCCCATAATTCTCACATTGAGTTCGAAAAAACTACTACTATTGGGTTACCACATTGGTAAGCCTTCCCATAATTCTCACATTGAGTTCGAAAAAACTACTACTATTGGGTTTGTAATTTTTTCCCATTAAATAATGACAAACTATATTTTCACACAGGGCTACCATGCCTACCAATTCAACCGCCTAAATAAAATAATACGTAGTATTTAACATGCTAAGAGAGAAAAAGGGATCAAACGATACCTAGATCCATGATCTCATGTCAAATATAAATGAGGGTATTACAGTAATTTGAAATAATGCAAGTTTTCCTATTTAAACTCCCTCACAACAATACGACCAACACACCATTCCGAGTGTAACATTATTCAACCTTAAATTATACTAAGTTTGAACGTTGAAGACACTATACAGTTCAGTTACGTACTCATACCACTTACACCATGAAAACCCCATCATCTGCTGCGTTTCCCCTAATGATCATCTTTTTCTCCACACTTTCGTTTAACTTAAGGCAGCTCTCCGCCACCGCCGCCGCCACAACCGAAGTCCAGACAGACTTCATCTCAACAAGGTGCGGCGATGCCGCCATACTCTACCAGAGCTTATGCAAGTCATCCCTCTCCCCCTACGCCAGCACCGTGAAGCAAGACCTTGGTATTCTGGCTCGGGTCGCCATCGACGTCAGCCGCAATCAAACCGAGCCGGTTCTCGATCTCGTCAAATCCCTCTTTCGCGGGACCAATGTAACAGTCGTGGATGCCCTTAAGGTAATTAATTTAATTTCGCTCGATTATTCATTAATATCCCTTTGTTCATAAATAAGTGTAACATGTTGAATTTTACATTACTCAGATGTTCTACTTTGATTACAGGAAATAAAACATTAGAAGTAGCACGGTTTAATTTACTTTAATTTCAAATATAATATATACACTCCTTCCTTTGGCATAAAACTTTACCAATGTTAACTTTCATCATACTCCGTACAAAAGATACACCAATAATGTAAAAATTGTGTGATTATTAACCAGAACTGCTCTTCCCACTTGGAAACTTCCGTGGGCAAGATGCGGAGTTCCGTCGAGACGATGCAACACCTCAATGGCAGAAGTTCGGCGGCACCGCCCCCGGCAGGAGGGTACTGTTGGAAAAATGTGTGAAAAATTGCATTAAATGGCTATTTTGGGGCAATTTTTTGAGTGGGGTCCACTTCCGATTTGGGTCGGGTCAAAGTGGTTTCGGATTGTCCTTGTTAAGGGCTACAATTCGATATATGGTACGCTCAAAACGGATAACGGGTGAATGAGAAATCGCTTTTCGAAGTTTACCCGTTAGAATGGAAAAACTGGGAAAAAGGATGGGTTTCTAGTGTTAATTTCCCACACCGGAAAACCCAAGAGATTTGCAACCCTTTATAAGGGATCTCCCCCCTTGAGGAGTTAAGATTCTTAAGGGTAAAGGCTCTCTCACGCGCGCAGGGGGGGGGGGGGGTGCAAATCAAATCCCGAATTCGGAGAAGAAAAACCGCGACTTGCGTGTGCGGGCGACCTGCGGACACGAATGTCGTCCAAAAATCTATCTCTCAAGAGATACGATTAATTTTTTGTTTTCTTCCCAAAACGTATATTTTTCCCAGTTGACAGAAGTGTCTAGCGGCAGAAGACCTCGGTCTCTGATGGCCTTGATCAGAATACCTCGCGTTGGTATTCTGGTGTCGGTCTCTGATGGCCTCGATCAGAATACCTCGCGTTGGTATTCTGGTGTCGGTCTCTGATGGCCTCGATCAGAATACCTCGCGTTGGTATTCTGGTGGCACTTCTGAAACGTTACAACAATTAATGCCCAACGTTTATATCTTTTAATGCAGTGTTAAATGGACAGTTCATGGACGATTCAATGCCCAACGGACTGGTCATTGATGTCCAACGTTCAGGTCCATTAATTCACTATTTTCGTACAACAAATCCTCCTATATAAAGGCTGGCAGGTGGTTTGCAACAACACACGTTCTTACACGAACTTACACGTTTTGCACCTCTAAAAACACACTGCTAGCAATCTGCAAATTCCTTCTGTGTTCAGTCTTTGTTCTCGTTCGTTGGAACTCTTGTTTGTGTGCTCAAACATTAGTTCGTTGTCATCGTATCCTGGGAAACTATTGTTGCAACGCTCCTAGCACCGTGGGAGGCAACAAATACGTTTTAAGGACATCGTGCGTAGCACGAGCTTTGACAAATTTCTGCTCCATCTCATTTCTGTTTTCTTTTGTCATTTTATTTAATTAATTTCTTTTAATTAATTTTCTTTATTTTCCGAAACACACCCAACAGGTACAAGGCCTCAACATTGGAAGATGTGAAAGTGTGGATGAAAGCAGCTTTGGACGAAGAGAATCGGTGCGATAGGGCGTTCGATCAGGTGGGGGATATGTCCCTCAAAGGCAAGGTGTTGGGCAAGCTACTCCTGGCTAAGCAGCTCACTAGCAATGCAGGAGCTTTGCTTCTTCAATTTGCTCCAAAGATTGGGGCTTAATTTGCTCATCTATATTACTATATGTGTAGTATTTTATTAATCGCCTATTCCCTCTTCAAACAGTCACATTTCCCATCTTATCTTATTTAATTAAAAGTAATTTGAAACAGTTAATGATTAAATAAACATAGCATGTGTTTGCATATGCTCTTCCGATCCGCGAAGTAATGAAAAGTAGGTCAACTATTTCAAATTTTAGCTTATCTTCATTATTTCAAAATTATTATATACGGAGTATAATGCAGTACATTGTACGTAATTAATAGTTTGACTTCCTGCTCATCTTTACAATACTTTTGCTTACATACACTGTCTGAAATGTATTGTAAGGTCATAAGCGGGAGATCAAATGAGAATGACATACATGATGGAATGAATGTGGTATTGTGGATTTGTGGTGCCTTAAATTTATGAATTGTGCATTATTAATGATTAAAAATGCACTGTCATGAATCAAATGTATATTATCTTTATCACAAATAGGCATTATTGTCATGAATCAGACAATGCAACATTCTTGATCGTTCTCATTTACATTGGGAAAAATCATTTAACATTAAAACCAAACTATATATAAAGTGCGATGCAAATAATAAAGAGTGTATCCCATGCAAAACGCGCATAAGGTACAATTTATCCCATCTATATTATGGTGCACCTTCACATTCAAATTAACACTTTGGTGCACGTATGACATTTTATTCGTCCATACTGCACCTGCAAGTCAAATTCATGATATATGCACCTTATACGGTAATGAATTCTTTGGTTTATGTAACATAATATCACCTCATTATTTAACCCCATAGATGTTATATCTGAGAAATTTTTATTTTGCATGCAAAAGATGACATTTTAATCCATGTAATATACGAAGTACTACGTATTTATTTATGTGTGTATATTTTGCAATGAACAAAAACTTGAATTCAGTTACGCAAGTGTTTTTTAAAGTTAAATTCGAGTTGATGGGAATTGAAATTGCGACCTTACAATATAGAGCCCGTTTGGTAGCATCAAAATCGGCTGTTTTGGCTGATTCTGCTAAAATTTATGAAGTTCTGACTGAAGTGGCTGCATTGGCTGATTCTGCTGATTTAAGAAACACTTATTTTTAAAATATATTTTATTAATAAAATAAGAAAAAATTATATGTAAAAATAGCTAAAAAAAAAGTCATCTACAGTAACTTCAGCCAATACAGCCAGAAAACTAACTTCAACCTTACTTTTTCTGCTTATTACACAATTCAGCGCGCGCAAGCAAAAATTACGTGTTTGGTAAAAAAGTTGACTGCCTGATAAGCCAAAAAACAGTGTTGCCAAACGGCCTCATAGTATGTGAGTTGTTCACCGCTGAGCTAAGTCATTTACTTGCACAAATGTTATCATGTTTTTCATTCACTTAATACATTTTTAACACATTTAGAGCAATTAGATCATACATCTAAAGCTTCTGATCTATTCTTCACTTCGATGGAAATGACTTTTTATTTGATTTGTGTGTGTGTATACATAGGAGAGATCCAATGCGAAGTGCAAAATAATACTACCTCCGTCTCATTTTATGTGTCTTAGTTTGACTTGGCACGGTTATTAATGAAATGGTTGAAAAAGTAAAAGTTGTGGTTGAGGTTTGAGTATAATAAAGTGAAATGGTGTAGACCATATATTTCTTTTCAAAAAAGAAAAGTAGACACTTATTTTGGGACAACCTAAAAAGAAAAGTAGGACAAATAAAATGGGACGAAGGAAGTAGCATACAAGGAATAAAAACGGATACCAAACACCTTTCAAGATGGGGTCCATTATACGAAAGGGTTCACCGGCGCACACAAGGAATAAAAACGGATAATCCCATCTTCACTTTACAGTTACTTAGAACTAAGGATGTTTTTACTTGGATTGTAATTTGTCCCAGACCAGACCAGACCAGACCAGTCTAGACCAGATCAGACCAGTTCAGACCAGATCAGACCATACCACACTTGGATAGTTATAAAAATACAAAGAAACCAGACCTTACCAGACCAGACCAGACCAGACCAGACCAGATCAGACCAGACCAGACCAGCAAATTACAGTCCAAGTAAAAACATCTTAGTAGGACAACAAGGTAATTTAAAAAACAATAACCCGTCAAAATCAATTCCGTTTTATTAAGTAAAAAATCCCTAATTTGAAGGCAATTATCCACTAACTAGATAACAGCCACGAATTAGAAATGTAAATACAATAACTTGCAGAGGTTTTTCCCTTCAAACTAAGGTGGTGAATGCAAGAGAAGGCTAGTGTTTAAGTAAAATTTTGATAAGGTAAAACTAATTAAAAAAGAAAATTATATGTAGATGGGGTCTCGTACAAGAACAAATAAGAAGATGACAAGCAAGCAAATAAGAGTGTATTTGAGTATTATTTGAATGTCAAGCTGCTGTAATACAATAGGGGATGTTCTATTTATAGGAAGGGTAGTTAATGCTCTCATGATGGTACGCGTTGGCTGCCCATTATGACGATTTCAAATCTGTCATAAATGCTGGTCAATTTTAATCAATATCTTCCTTAATCACATAAAAGAGCCTAATAATGCATAAAAACGTTACAATAATTGTCATTAGGCCTCATGAACGTATCAATAATTTCTGTGGTCAACCTTCTTTAATGCAACATAAACCGCCAATTTCTTGCTCTAACAATTGCCCCCTTTCGAGAAGTTGACGCGTACAATGCGCGAGCCGGACCGCTAACGGCAATTTGTCGAAATTTTGAAAGAGCTTATACTTCACATCTTGGTCCATTGCATCTATTGTTTTTTTAAGAAAGATGATTTTATTGATTGAAAAGGGTACAATACAGTACAAGAAAGAAGTAAAAAAGAAGAAGAAAAAAAGAAGAAGAAAAAACAGCAAAGAAAAATTAGAAAGAGAAGAAACGTGAAACTAATCCCAAGGGAAATCTCTAGATTGAGATCTGGTCTTCATGTTGTGGCGCCTTTAATTTTTCTGAGATTTCCTATAAATTTTGAGTTGTGTGTTTAGATTGTCTTTGGCAGACAATTTTCCGAGTTTACCAAAATTGCTTTGCGGCAAATCGCTCTGTTGGATTTCGACTTTCAGATTTCTTCCTGGTATGAGATTGGAGGTCAACGGTCGCTTTCGGTTGCATGTCCCAAAAAATCATCTGTGATGAAAGAGTCGTCGATCAGAATGCTCAAAACTGTCGGAGGCGTCTGAGTAAGCCTGGATCAGTGGTAGCTAGAGTTGCTTCCCTGGATAGTGGACCTGTAGATCCTCAGTACTTGCTGCATAAACGTGATAATTAAAAATGAGTTTAGAGATGGATGTGGGGTCTTCGGTTTCAATGGTGCTCCCGTGTTGCAAATTGATTGAGTCGTCCTGCACATGTGTCTATTGACTCATCAATGACTTGTCGTGACGTATTAATCAATTCAGTTGATGAAATGTTTCTGTCTTTCCTTCCAGTAGTTTCCGATCGAATATGTCTCCTTGACTTAACAATGAAGACTGAAAGTTGGCTTTTTGTCTTCTTCCCTCCAAAATTGTGCCGACGACTAGATGATAGAAAATTGCAACATCTTTCATGTCAATGTCGACACTTTAGCTGGCAAAGGGAATATTGTGCGTCGTTGAAGATGACGAGTTGGGTTGCGTGAACTTTGTCCATATCCTGCAAAAACTTTAAATAATGTTACATTTATGACTTGTGTTGATGTCATTCGCATTGTCTCCTTATGTTGGAGCATGTGCTTCTGTTGTGTAATTCTGTAGTTTTGGACAAAATATTGCGAAGAATCGGTGACATTTTTACTCATGTTTAACGTACATGAAAACACCACTTCTTCCCCTAAAATTCTGTAAGCTCCCCCTTCAATTGTGTTTTGACGTGTTGTAAGGCTTCGTTTAATGTAAGCCCCCCATCAATTGTGTTTTGACGTGTTGTAAGGGAAATTGCGGTCAGAGAGGTTGTAGGAGACGTATGTGGTCAAGGTAAGGGTTTCAAGTAACCCTTTCAAGGATTTCAACATGCCTCATCAGTACCCATACACATCATGGTAGTGCTTCACTTGGTAATATTATGGATACTTAGGTACATCTCATGTTAATATTGTTAAGTCGTGTTTCATACTTTTGGACCTTCTACTGCTATAACTAATTTTGGTTGAACAGGCGCTCATACAGTTGGCAAGTCTGGGTTTATCCCTCCTCCCACAGTGCTAGAGGCCTGGATAGTAATTAGGAGTAACTAACTTGAACCCTATGGGTTTGGGGTCTTAGAACAAGGCTATTGCTTATACTGTTCAAGATAAAATTCATTTTCCCAGTCTTTTATGAACTTGGTATTCCAATTTGTGATCGGTCACACTACCTGTTGTGGGATAATGTTTTTGTTTCTTATGTCTCCGCCAATCCTATACAACATGTCTGCAGCAAAGATATCAACATTAATTATCACCTTGTTCGGGGAAAAGTTGCTCATGGTGATCTTCAAGTTAAATATGTTCCCACTAAACTTCAACTTGTAGATACTTTTACTAAACTTTTATCAGTACGACGCTTTGAGTTTTTACATAACAATCTGTTAGTAGTTCCTACTACACTGATTGATGGGGTGTAATGGATTAGAATTACTCTTAATATACAATGTATATGACATCAGAGCTACTAATAAGATTAAGCCGTATCATTATTCTCACAGCAGATTCTATGCAACACACTCACCTTGGTGCTTGAAAGGCTCAAGCTTTCGAGTTTGACACTTGTTTAATTGTTGATTGTGTGTTTTGTTTTGTACTAGTTAGATTAGGTTCCCGTTTCAAAATAGTTTTGACAATCAATATAATGAACTAATTAAATCACTATTAATTTAAAATAAACATGTTCATTAAGTGGTTAATTAATGAATTTTAGTGTTCACCGGGGGCGGAGTCAGGGAACTGGGCCGGACTGGGCCGATACAAAGAATATTTTTGGAAATACTTTTACACGAAATCTTTTACACTAAAAATACACACATTTTTTAAATTTGGGCTGGGCCGGGGCCAGGGTTGGCCACCCCCTAACTATGCCCCTGGTGGACTAGGTAGTCATCTTTTTTTATCTAACCCTAGGGCTACTAATCAAGTAGGGATAATCAATTTT